TGGCCATTCTTTGCCTGTTTAGTGTAACCACTCTGTAGTTTGTGCTGTCTGAACTGAGCTCCTTTCCTTTACCGATGGTTCCCTATATTCTGTTATCCCTGGCAATCCATGCAGCAATCAAGAGAAGCACCTTCTGCGAATCCCGGGTTGAAGCTCCGCTTGGAAATCACTGGGGTGTTGCAAGGCCATTTTCTATGAGAGAAAGAATGGCAGGAGTGACTAGGATCCTCCACACACACATCCCAAGCACTACATGTGAATGGGCTGGCAGAACACAGTCAGCATCCTGCAGTTGCTAGAAAGTCACGGGAGAGTCACCACAGTCTTTAGCTCAGGTTCAGAATCTGATCCCAGAAACTTCCAACAGATTCTGGATTAAAGTCTGGATTGTAATGCTTTGGAACGGATTTAAACATTGCAGAAGGGGAAAACACACCCTTGGAACTGGGAGAGGTAGGACACCCTAAGCCATAGATCCATTCTATCTCAAGAGATGTCACAATAATAAAAGCAAATGCTTTGGTTGAGTCTTGCACTTGAGCTCTGTGTGACTCATTCTCAGAACAAGCAATATTTTTTACAACTCTTTTCAAGATTGTACCAGGACACAATGCTTATCAGCCTTTAACACAGGGGTGAAATCCAGCAGGTTCTGACAGGTTCTGGAGAACCGGTAGTGGAAATTTTGAGTAGTTTGGAGAACCGGCAAATACCACTTCTGGCTGGCCCCAGAGTGGGGTGGGAATTGAGATTTGCAATATCCTTCCCCCAGAAGTGGGGAGAGAATGGGGATTTTGCAGTATCCTTCCCCTGGAGTGGGGAGGGAATGGAGATTTTGCAGTATCCTTCCCCTGCCATGCCCACCAAGCCATGCCCACCAAGCCACACCATGCCCACCAAGCCATGCCCACAGAACCGGTAGTAAAAAAAATGGATTTCACCACTGCTTTAACATATACCATACTATTTTTGACTTCAGGGTACTATTAGTCCTGCCTTCACTCCAGACCATAAAATAGCTTTTTCCAAATCTAGGGATCTTTAAAAGAACTGAGCTAAATCTAGGGATCTACAAAAGGTTTGGAGTCCAGTGGAACATACTGTGAAGTTCTTGGTGATCTCTGAATTGGTTGTTTGCTTGCAGCCATTTAGTTACCAGACTAGGTAACATCTTCAGTGCTAGAAGGGAGTGAGATATACTCTGTTTATAAATAGAGGTTTGCTTTCAGGTTTGCTCTCTCTGTAGAAACAGAGGGCAAATCCCACTTCCTTGTAGCACTGAAAATGTTACCTACTTGAATAGCTAAAAAAAAAAATAATAATCTGCATGCAAGCAACCAATATATGAGACCACTCAGGATTTCACAGTTCAAGTCTGAGCTACATATACTCTTCTTGTATTGGAATCTGTATTCTAACCCATAGGGACATTTGCAGACTGCATACAGTTGTTAAGCAGCGAAAAGAGCTTGACTATTACCAACAGTAATTCGATATAAAAGGGAATTTGCACCTGCCTGGAACCTTAAGTTTTGTTGTTTTGATTCATCCTGCAGTCCAGAATAGCTACCATAGAAAAGTCATTTACCTTTCTTATGCCAGACGGTATAAGAATTGGGGCATCTATGGATCTATTTATGACTTGTGAACTCCAACGGATAAATTTCAAGGAGGGTAACATTGCCTGTATCTGACTGAAGCTTAAAACAATCAAGTCTCTTAGCCTTTACAGTTTAAATTGCACCATTCTATAATGTAAGATGCAATTTCTAAGGCGATTTCAATGTCAAATCCATATAGCTTGCTTCAGTTGTATTTGAACGGTCTCTGATAGGATTTTCAAGCAATGAGTGCCCACACCCACAAGGAGACCATGAAGAAATAAGAATTATGCATCAACAAGCTTTTATTTCCAGGAGTATAAAATAAAAGCCAAGCTCCTTTATTTCTTATCCACCCCCGAGCATAGCCTCTGATAAAGGAAATAAGCGGTCTGATAACACTGAGCATGCTCAATAGCCATGAGTTGTTGAATCGGTAGAAAAAAAAAAGAAAATGTTCACAAGAAAATGTTCAGAAGGTGAAATAGAATGGAGTGGTTCCTTGAGAATTGCTTGGTTGGTCATCTGAAACTAGGAATAAAAGGATTGGAGTTGGTCTTTTTTGGGGTTAGGAATAGATTGCAACTCTTTTTGGTGAAGGCTGCTCTTTCATTGGGTTTTTACTTTTTGCTTTTATGGTGAAATCTTAGAAGTCTTAGTCAGCAGTCCATCTAAAATTTGTTGGATTGCAACTCCCATCACCATGGCTGATAAGATCTGCCATGCCAGTTGGGAAAGACTGATCCACGCTATCCAAATAATTAGTATTGGGGAAAATGATTTAGATATGTCTCCTATAGTTGTTAGAAACCAAGCACCCTTTTGCTCTGCAAATGTTATGAGAAAACATAACAACCTTTCTGATGCTTTTTTTTTTTTAAATTTGATTTATATGCTGCCCTTCTTCGGAGACTCAGGGCGGCTTACAATGCGTTAAGCAATAGCCTTCATACGTTTGTATATTTTATACAAAGTCAGTTTATTGCCCCCACAAACTGGGTCCTCATTTCACCTACCTTAGAAAGGATGGAAGGCTGAGTCAACCTTGAGCCTTGGAGAGATTCGAACCAGCAGTAAATTGCAGGCAGCTGTGTTAATAACAGGGTGCGTAGACCACTGTACTATCAAGGCTCTTTTAGATGCAATCCTAAATTGCAGTAACAGAGGGATAGAATCAAGGTCACATGAAGTATTAGTACCACTTTATAAAGCCTTGGTAAGACCATACTTAGAATACTGCATCAAGTTTTGGTCATCATATTATAAGAAAAATTTTTTGTAGAGACTCTAGAAAGAGTGCAGAAAAGAGCAACAAAGATTAGGGGACTGGAAGAAAAACATATGAAGAACGGTTGCAGGAATTGGGTTGGTCTAGTCTAGTGAAAAAGACAAGAGGTGATATGATAGCAGTGTTCCAATATCCTAGGAGATGCCACAAAAAAAAAAGGGGGGGGGACAACCAATTTTCCAAAGCATTGGAAGGCAAGGCAAGAAACAATGGATGGAAACTAATCAAGGAGAGAAACATCCTAGAACTAAGAAGAAATTTCGTAACAGTGAGGACAATTAACCAGTGGAATGGCTTTCCTTCAGAAGTTTGAGGTTGCTCAATCATTGGAGGCTTTTAAGAAGATCAGACAGCACTTGTCTGGAATGGAACAGGGTGTCCTGTTTGTGCAGTGGGTTGGACTAGAAGACCTCCACAGTCCCTTTCAACTCTGTTATTCTGTTCTTGCTGACCACGTGGCTCTGCTGAAGTTATATTTCATTATGCCATGCCAATCGGGTACATATTCCACACACACACACACACACACAATGTCATTGATTTATTATACTAACGTGTACCAGTCTCACAATGCTTCTTCATCACTAAGTCAGTTTATCCAGGTATGCATCTTCTGCCCTTCCTCCCCGCTCTCTAGAGAAAAGTTGCTGAAAACTTTTAGAAATCAAGATTTTCCCCTTTCTATCTCCCTCCCTCCCTCCCTTTTTACCCTGATCAAAGATGTACAAATCCGGAGGAAGCGGAGCGATTGTATTACAAGCGATGGAAAGAAGGTGTGTCAGTCCGAGTAGAAAGGCCATATAATTGCTTATTCTTAGATGGTCCTGATAACCATCCTCGTCCTGAACCCATCGGGAAAGATTACATCCCAAGGGGAAGGTTAGAGCTGGATCTGTCAGAGTTGGAGAAGAGAAGATAATTTCTCAGTTTGGGTTGCCAGCTAAGCCGCCGCCCCCGCCGCCCCCCCCGCCCCCATGCGTGCTCCTTGCCTAGGCATCTTGGCGCCAGGCAACTTGAATGCGCGTCGCCTGCAATCTCCCATCCGTGGAAAAGCAGTATCTTTGCCTGGCTCCCCCATCCCACCCCTCCACCCCCGTCCCTCCCTTGGCTCCCGAGGGACGGAGATGAGTGACGATCCCGCGCGCTTGAGGGTTTAACAGCGGGGTTCAAACGCTGACTTTCATTCACCGATGAAATCGTCGCGCTCCCGCCCCCCCCCCACTCCATCAGTTTTCAGCTAACCTTTTGGGAGTCGTGTGTGTGGGGGGGAACGTTTTATTGCTACCATGCTATCTTGGTTTAAGCATTCATAGCAAGCTCTTCTCTTCGTTTAAATTATTGCAGCTCTATTCTGGAAATGAATTCAGAATCATTAAAGGAGGCGCGAAGCGTGAGAAAATTTCTCTGCTCAAAATGAAAGTATAGAGCAGGGGTTACTAAAGCTTTTCTTTTCTTTTTCTTTATAAACACTGATAAAATGCAAAAAACATCCCTGAATAGTTTCTGGAATCATCCGTAAACAACATTTACTTGGTAGTAAGCTTCCCTGGCGAGAGCTTCTTGGAGAGCAAGAGGGCAACCTCTGCGCTCCAGAAAACACCTATACCTGCCTGATATATGGGACTAAACCCTGGTTCTCGTTTACGGGAACCGAGATCTACGCGCTGCGAAACGAGTTGGTCGTTCCAAATCGCTCCCATCTTTTAAACCAAAGAATTCAGGGCCATATAGATTCACTTAGATCACTTTATCCTAAATGGGTACAAGGCAGGCGCTGGAAAGGAAGAGGACGCGCGTCAAAGGGTTTATTTATTTATTTATTTTACACACAAACGCTCGCTAAAAAGAAAAAAGAAAAAGCTTCTCACCGCTTCCAGTGGGTCGGTTTCAGTGAGAAGGAGAGCTGGGTGTTCTGCAGTCAGCTGTCTGTCTCTGATCTAGAATTTTGAAACTTTCCGGGGCCGCTTGGCGGCTCGTGATTGGCCAAGGCGGAGGTAACCTCCATGCAAATGAAGCCCCGCCACCTCGCAGTCCGTAGATCAATAGAGATCCGAGAGAGAAAGGAGCATGCATTCAGACTCGGCAAGCTCAAGGAAAACCTGCCGAGGCACGCCAAAAAAGCCCCCCAAACCGGTCTCCCCAAAGCCAGGCTAGGCAGCTCAGCCCCTCCGGCAGCTCCCTCCGCTCAGACTTGACCCCTGCTCCCCAGAGCGCCTCTAACGCCAGCGGTGGACTTCTCTCCTTTCTTATGAGCCCAGGATGAGCAACAAAGAAGATGCCGGCAAAGGTTGTCCTGCGGCAGCTCCGGTCTCCAGTTTTACCATCCAGTCGATCTTAGGCAGCAGCACCTCGGGAGGAGGCAGAGAGCCCAGCTCCAAGCAGACCGCCTCCGCCTGGCCGAGCAGGAAGAGGAGCCTGTCGGTCTCTTCCGAAGAAGAAGAGCCGGACGAGAGCTGGAAACATCCCACTTGCTTCTGCCCCGACTCGCAGGCCCCTGAAGAAACGTGCCACAAGCATCAGCCTCTCGGTTTCACGTGCCTCAGTAAGTATTGGCCCGGGATGGCGGGGAATTGGGGAGTGGGGGGTGGCGCAGAGAAGCACCCTTTGCTTCCTAATTAGGAAGAATGATCTCTAGGGGCATCTTATTTATAAAAGCGGAGAGTGTAATAACGAAAGCTCAGCCTGTTTTTTTTTTGTTTTTTTACTTTGGGTGCAGAGTTATCCACAAATCTGTTTTCTAATCTTCTTTTACTCTTCAGAGAAGGCGGTGGGTTAAATGAAGAGGTCCGGGGGTGGGGGAATACAGTTTTGGGTCCTCTCTCTCTCTCTCTCTCTCTCTCTCTCTCTCTCTCTCTCTCTCTGTGTGTGTGTGTGTGTGTGTGTGTGTGGAGACGATGCCTTCGTCGTGATAATTTCAATAATTGTCTCTGGTGTCTCCTCCCTTTTTAAAATAACGATTTAGGCAGAGCGATTTTTTCTTTTAAAAAAATGGTTACTGTATGTAATCATGCCGCCCGCATTTTTTCTGATCGATGTTTTTGGATTTTCTGGCATCTCCTAAAATAAGGGAGCGAGGAGCCTACAGACTGAGCTCCGAATATATATATATATTTATTTTAAAGGGTGGTGTACTTTGTAAAAAGCAACACAACCGGCTCTCGTAATTCATTGGGAAAAGGAGAGTCTGAATAAATTCCACTCGATTTCCTTTTGTTCGCTTCTCTGAGCTCTGTAGCCACGGAAGGTTGGTAAGAACTGACCACAGCCCAGTGCAAGGCAGAACCTAGCGGAGAGCAAAGCCCAGCAACAGCGGTGGGACTTCCTGCCGAGAAAGCACGCCTGGGAGAAGGCTTGCGCGATCTAGAAAGTAGAAACGAATCTAAACAGGATGCGGCAACCGAGGAGACTCGGCTCGTGAGTCTAGAGCTGCACAATTGATCAGATCGGCTTCCCGGAAGAGCTACAAATAGGATCTGTACACAACCATAAAGAGATGAAGGAGTGGGGAGACCAATGCGCTCATCCCCCTCCCTTCTCTGAGGTGGATAGGTAGGTAAGTAGGTAGGTAGATAGACATAGATATAGACATATAGACATATAGACATAGACAGACATGGATGGATGGATGGATGGATGGATGGATGGATGGATGGATGGATGGATGGATAGATGGATGGATGGATGGATGGATGGATGGATGGATGGATGATGGATGGATGGATAGATGGATGGATGGATGATGGATGGATGGATGGATGGATGGATGGATGGATGGATGGATGGATCACAACACAACACAACACAACACAACACAACACAACACAACACAAAATATTTGTAAGGGTTAGGGTTTAAGCCCCAGAGGTTTACCCCCAGAGTGTGTTATTTGGGGTGGGCTATGGTGGGTTTCCCCTCTCCTCCGCCCAGGACAAATCGCAGTATCCATGCCCACTTCTTCTTCTCTTCCTCTTTACTCCAGGCAATTCCAAGGGGACCGGCGCGGCGCTCGGTTCCGACCGGACGCCCCCTTTCCTCTCTCCGTCCCAGCCGGATTTTAAGGAAGAGAAAGAGAAGCCGTTCGCTCCGAATTCGCCCGCCTGCTCGGCGGACCGGCCAAGGGACGGGGCGGAGAGGCAGGCCGGTTCGGCCAAGAAGAAGACGCGCACGGTCTTCTCGCGGAGCCAAGTCTACCAGCTGGAGTCGACCTTCGACATGAAGCGCTACCTGAGCAGCTCCGAGCGGGCCTGCCTGGCCTCCAGCTTGCAACTGACAGAGACTCAAGTCAAAACCTGGTTTCAGAACCGGCGGAACAAATGGAAGCGGCAGCTCTCGGCCGAACTGGAAGCGGCTAACATGGCCCACGCCTCGGCCCAGACTCTGGTGGGGATGCCGCTGGTTTTCAGAGACAATTCCGTCCTCAGGGTACCCGTGCCCAGGTCCATCGCCTTCCCGGCGCCCTTATACTACCCCGGCAGCAACCTGTCCGCCTTACCTCTTTACAACCTCTACAATAAGCTCGACTACTGAGACCGGACTCTGGACAGCCTTGGAGGCCAGGCGGCCCCGACCCAGGACCCCCTCCTCCCCCCCCGACCCTCGCGCCCTTTTCTTCACCCATCAGTCTGTTGTTGATTGGAAAGAAGAATCGTGCTTTTGGCATTGTTAAGAAATACACCATGTGTATTCATTGCTATTATATTATATTATATATATATATTTAAAATATTTATGGGAATCCTCTTTGGGGTGGTTTCTTTCGGTTGTTTTGTAGGCTGGAGAAAGAATTATATGACTTCTGCCTTCTCTTGTTTGGTCTCGTTCCTGGTCCAGACGTACGTAAGCCAGCTTGTTGCTGCTGGGGGGCGGAGGGGGGGGCTCCTCTTTCAACCCAAACGGGGGCCGTCTTGGTGCGTCGGTAGGCAAAGTCAGGGCGCTGGAAACCCTTTGCCGTTTCCCGAGGCTCTTCCCACCCTGCCGCTTCACCCCGAGCATTAATTATGCCTTGCGGGAAAGCAAGCAAAACAAAGGCTTTGGAGGGGAGGGGGGGTTGCAAAAGAGAGGCATACTTCAGACCTGTACATATTTTTAAAGAAAAAAAATAAAAGAATTTTAAAGCGTCGTTGGCTAATTTGGGTTAGATTGCTTATGACGTAGCCTGCTTGGCTTTCTCTTGGCCAAACGCTTGGAACTTAGAGGTTGCCACGATTTGAGCAGCTCTGGGTTGGAAGCCCAAATTTGGGCGCTGGGGAAAAGTTTCCTCTGAGCATAAAGGGCTTCTTTTTTTGGGGGTGGGGGGTGGGAGAGAGAAGGTAGGGAGAGCAATCAGGGAATTTTGAGTAATCGTTGAGTAAAAAGCCCCGCAGCATTACTTGGAAATCAATAGTAGGCGGAGCATTGATCAAAACAAATGTGAAATATTAGTTATTTCGGAATTCACAGGGCCTACAACACAGCTTCCACAGACCCAGGTGAGGGTGGGGAGAGACAAGGAGAGGAAATTTGCCTCTTTCAGATTTCTTAGGTAACAATATTTAATTGTTTGGATCAATGAACTTGTCTTCTTGGAAGTGAATGTCTCTGAGCTTAGCTTAGAGACATACCTTATCTGACTCTTACAAAGTGTACTGTGTACTTCTAAGAAGTCTTACTTCTGAGTGGACGTCTCCGTGACCAAATTGTTAGAATCCTTTTTATCATTTAAGCAAAGTGATGGATAAATACTGTATGCTCGCTCGATGGTTAAGGTTTGATATTTCACAATTAGGCGTTTTGGCTGGGTTACAAAAGATAGAGGGTTCTTCTAAAAACAATCTGTTTACATTTTGTGATTCAAGCTCCCTGATGGATTACATTAAGTTTAGAAGTCTTGTTTCTAACAATTTTGGCCGCATGCTCAGTTCATCACTCCTTCTTGAGTTTTAAATTCCCCAATCTATTCTATTCTATTCACCCAAATAGAATTTATTTGAAACTGGATCTTTTCTTTATTTATATGGTTTCCTTTCTTTCCATTTCACTTAGGTTAATTCCTTGATTTAGAGAAGTTATCATTTAAGCAATATAGAGCAACTTAATTTAGAGAATTCTGACGTGGATCGTTTTCTGAAAAAAATAAATAAATCTCAGGGCAGTGTAGATGTTGGACTAATATAAACCATTCAGTTGGAAGAGCTACCTTTTGAAATCAATAGGATGAACAGTTAAAGGTGACAGTTGATTTGAATGGCTTTAACCACATTCAGATGACTTAAACATGCTATTTTCAGCCAGTCGATTGATATTCACGATAGCATCTACGTCTATTTCTGTGCCCCTTTCCATAACACCAGACGAAACTCTTGCTCATTTTCAATTGTTATTAACAGCTATCGCCCCATTGAAATGTTCAGGAAAGTTCCATTGATAAACAGACGCGCAAATTTCAGCCGCCCCTGGATTGAAGCGGTTCCTGCTTTTCTTTATTTGAAAGGGGTGGTGGTGGTGGTGGGGTGGGGGGGGGGAGATGTACCTTCTCTATTAAGTGATCCGAATTGACAAGTGTTTCCGGAAATGGGCTTTCTTCAGAATTTGAGCCGCATTCTGTTCAATGCCACGATCTCAGGTAAAGGACTTTCTCCAGGCCTTTTAAAACCAGAAAGTGACATTATAGCCCACCCGTGATTGATCTGAGCGTTCATCCAAGCGCTGAAAAACACCTGCAGCCTCGGATCTGCCGAAAGGAGACCGTTTAAGCCCAAAAAAAAAAAAAAAAAAAAAGTAAATGGTTCATCAAGTGTTATTTAAATCGTTACGTGGTTAATGCAGCCACCTGTTCCTTGGTTAGTTTTGGATTTTAAGAGGGAAGGCTATCTGAAAATGCAGCGAGTATCTCCGTTCTATCCAAAATTTACATTCGCGATGTTGTTTTTTTCAAAAAGGAGATGGGGGATTATTTAAAAAGTAGGAATCCAATCTCTCTTTGCTCAGATAAATAAAATATGCTAGTGAGATGCTTCATATTAAATCCATGTATTCCCCCCCCCACAACAAATGGTAAATACTATATAGATTAGCTCTAAGTCTAGGTTTTCCAGTACTAGCAATAAAATAAAATTAAAAAAAAAACATATTCATGTTTAGAGCCTGGGAAAATGTATTTTCCAGCCTCAGACTATCTTCAATAGATATACGTGAAACATTGCTAGAAAGTTTGCTTTGAGGATAATTAAATATATAAATACATAACGCTTCGGAAGGAATTCGTTTAAACTCCCCCACCTCCAGAAAAAGGATGTCCTACAGAACGGCTATTGATTCGTGAATATAACATGCTTCCAATATATGTGCTTAGTAGTAGGGTCTTAACGTTGACTCTCCTTCGCTTTCAGTCTTTTAAATAAAGGAATAGTGTATGTGTTTACTCATGTGTCCCTCCCTTATCATCTAAAACAGAAGCCACAAAGTGGAGTTTTTATATAAATTGACTGCATTTTTATCACATTTTAAATTGCCACTCCCCATTACTCACAGTACATATATTCCTTCTATCCCATGAATCAAGACACTAATTCTTGAATAGCAGAAAGATGTTTGTACATATATATACATATACATACACATACACCCACCCACCCACCCACCCACCCACACATATATATACATATACATGTACACACACACATACACACACACATATATATGTATATGTACATGTACATGTACATGTACACACACACACACACAGGACTAGATCCACAATCTTCAGACCGAACCATCTAAATCAAAACAAATATTGTTTCAGGTAAGGCAAGATGCTCATCACATTGCAAATTAATCCCTCGCACTTTAAAAACTTGGGAGCTGATTGTGCTGGGTAGAACGGTCGAGATAAAGAATTAAACACTTTAGACCTAAAGCTTTTATGGAAATGACCAAAAGCTAAAGAAAACAGGAAAATACAGGGTCGCTTGCTTTGAATCAGTGACAAAGCCAGTCTTTTGGGAGGAAGAACTATATAACTTTCTTTGTTAGGTGATGGATTTTTTTCCCCATTAAAGCGCCTTTATAATTTATCTGTAAATGTGAAGTGTTCTGATTCATCCACAATCACAAAGACTCATTGAGCTGCCTTCTTTCCATGTGGAAAACTTTGTCTAAGTTTGTTTAAAATTAAATCAGGAGGGGGAAAAGCGCCTTTCCCGACATAAGGTATGAAACTTCTATTAATCAGTAGTTATTTCTCTTTAATTAGAGAACCATAGGTTTACGCAAAAGCCTCAAAACACGAGAGGAATTTACAAAAACTACATTTTTATTATCAACGATAATAAAATTATCGTTTCACGTAGAGAAAAATGTGAAAATTCGGAGAAACAGAAGTAGCCCTTATTTATTTATTTATTTATTTATTCAATTTATATATGCCACCCTTCTCCGGAGACTCAGGGCGGCTTACAATGCGTTAAGCAATAGCCTTCATACTTTTGTATATACCTGCTTAGTAGGGCTTTTTGGCCCCCCCAAGTGGTGTTCTTTTTTATACAAAGTCAGCTTATTGCCCCCACAAACCGGGTCCTCATTTTACCTACCTCGAAAGGATGGAAGGCTGAGTCAACCTTGAGCCTGGTGAGAATTTATTTAGGATTTATTAAGAATCTATACAGAATCTATACGCAGAAAAGAGGGATTAAAAAGTGTCTTCTTTGGAAGGCAAATTGACAAGTGTATTAATGGCCAATGAGATGTTTATTTTATACCCTGAAGACAATGAAAGAAAAAAAGAAGAAAAAGTAGGATTTGCTTTGAAAAGATGTAATAGGAAACATGAATTCCTCGCGGAAAAGTCTCTGCCACTGTTATTTTCTTCTGCGCTGGAAGGCATCTACTGTAGGCTTTACTGGAAATGCTGGGCTTCTCAAGACGAAAGGTGGCTTGAATGTGTGTTTTGCAGGAAGACATGGAAGAATAGAACTGGTTCTATTTGCCCATGAATTTTTAAACGACCTGATGGCAACGGGTAAAAAACTCTACTCGTTCTTTTGAACCGAATTCTTACTAAAATCAAGGGAACCTCTGATCACAAGTTGGGGGTGGGGGTTAGGTCAGGCAGAAAGAGCTGCTTTATGTGAAATCTTCGCTCCCCAATGGGAGCATCCTGATAAAGTGCCTTTTATCTTGGTTAAAAGAAGAATATATTTTGCACCGGTGCTTCCCTTCCGTTTTCCAGGAGTCTCCTTCTCCGAATTAAGGAGGTTTGCAACTATGCTCCCCTTCTATGCGTCTGCCAATTAAGTAGATAGATGAGTGCACATTGCTTTGACATGTGGTTACCGGATTTCGGATTGAAAAAAAATCGCAGCCAACACAGACACAACCTCTCTTTATTGCCGCCTAGCGATCCTTCGGATGTTTGCACTCGAGAGGCGCTACCACCACTTCATCTTTAGGCTTGAATGCCGTAAAGATCGTCCGGACGAAGGGGGGGAAAAAAAACCCCACGCAAACTTAAATCGGTGGTTCCTAAAAGTTCTCCCTCGGTTGCTTTTGTCCCGATGCTGACAGCGCCGCTTGAAACCACCGAGATCTTAGAAACGAGGCAACTGACATGGAAGGGAAACGCCTATTTCCCCGGCACCAAGCAAAGGCGGCCAACGAGAAGCTGGGGCGCAATGCATGCCGGTCGTTGTAGTCTTAGCTTCACGGAACGTGCCCGTGCGTGCCGCTGAGTTATTCAAACCAGCCAATCCCGGCCAGGGGCTCGTTTGTCGGCGCTGAGGCTGCTGGGAGGGAGAATCGGTCCGGTGGATTTGCGCGCGCGCGTTTTGCCTTAGCTCTACGTCTGGTGCGGAGCGGAAAGGGCGGTTGGCGCGGGAGGCGTCGCTCGGAGTAACGCTGGAGGACAAAGTAAGCGGGAGGGGGAGAGCCTCGTGGGGGGTAAGGGGCGAGGGGAGGGGGGAGTTCTCCCTATTAGTGCCTTCAAATCGAGAGAGCGCTCCATGAAAAACGAAGTAGGCCTTTTAATCCATCCCCACGTTACTGGAGTTGAGGGCCCCAGTTTCCTTTCCTTTTCCCTTTCCCTTTTCTTTCCATCCATCATTATTTCCTTCCTTTCTCCTTCATTTCCTTCCTTCCTTCCCTCCATCATGACTTCCTCCCTCCCTCTTTTCCTTCCTTCCTTCCTTTCTTCATGACTTCCTTCCTCCCTCATTTCCTCCCTCCCTTCCTTTCCTTCCTCCCTCCCTCGTTTCCTTCCTTCCTTCCTTCCTTCCTTCCTTCCTTCCTTCCTTCCTTCCTTCCTTCCTTCCTTCCTTCCTTCCTTTCTTTCTTTCTTTCTTTCTTTCTTTCTTCATGACTTCCTTCCTCCCTCATTTCCTCCCTCCCTCATTTCCTTCCTTCCTTCCATCCGTCATGACTTCCTCCCTCCCTTCCTCCCTCTTTTCCTTCCTTCCTTCCTTCCTTCCTTCCTTCCTTCCTTCCTTCCTTCCTCCCTCCCTCATTTCCTCCCTCCCTCATTTCCTTCCTTCCTTCCATCCGTCATGACTTCCTCCCTCCCTTTCTCCCTCTTTTCCTTCCTTCCTTCTTCCCTTCCTTCCTTCCTTCCTTCCTTCCTTCCTTCCTTCCTTCCTTCCTGACTTCCTTCCTCCCTCATTTCCTCCCTCCCTCCCTCATTTCCTTCCTTCTTTCCTTCCATCCATCCATCCATCCATCCATCCATCATGACTTCCTCCCTCCCTCCCTCTTTTCCTTCTTTCCTTCCTCCCTCCCTCCCTTCCCCTCCCCTCCCCTCCCCTTACTTGCTTGTCTTTTCCTGTCTTCAAGGCTGCCTAAGTCAGGGCAATCTTTGGGCTCTTTAAGTAAACATGGAGAGTATCCAACTGGCTGATTTTCTCCAATGGGGAAGGTAGGAAGGCCACCCAGGCATCCTACAGTGGATCACTGGCACTAAACAAGAAAGGTATACAGGTAGTCCTCAACTTCCAACAATCCATTTAGTGACCATTCAAAGTTACAGTGGCACTGAAAAAAGTGACGTATGACCCTTTTTCACATTTACGACTGTTGCAGCATTCCTGTGGTCACGTGATTTACATTCAGATGTTTGACAACTGGTTCACGTTAATGATGGTTGCAGTGTCTTGGGGTCATGTCATTAACTTTTGCAAACTTTTGACCAGCTAAGTCAATGGGAAGCCAGAGTCCCTTAGCAACCATGTTACTAACTTAACAACTGCAATGATTCACTTAACAACAATGGCAATAAAAGTCAAAATGGGGGCAAAACTCACTTAATAAATGTCTCACTTAACAATATAAAATTTGGCCTCAATTGTGGTAAGTCGAAAACTATCAATTGTAAATCGAGGTCACTGTAATAAAAATGTTCATACTATGACAGATTTTCGTCATCTGAAGCTCTTTAGAAATTTTAGGGCTACCACTTCCAGAATCTTCATATTAGGAAAAAGTTTATCCAGAGTGATAAAATACAGAATGAGTTTTAGAAGAAAAGGATTTGAATTTGAAGAGGTGAAGGGCTACTAGAGCTGGTTGTAAACATCTGGACAATTGGCAGATGGCCCCAGGCATTAAGGCTTTGCTGTCATTTATAGTAGGCCAGATTTAGTAGTAAGTAATTCCACTACTAAAAGTATCAAAGACAAGACTTCTTGCTATGCATGTGCATTTTTTGTTTTTTTAAAAAAATAAAGCCCAATTCTACTTGTTACTGTGGTTTTCTGTCCCCCCTCCCCTTTTAATTCTTTTTATTTTAAGAGATTTAGTGGTATGACTAGTGGAATCACTTTGGTCTAGTGGTTGACTAGACTAGAAAGTGGAGACTGTGAGTTCTAGTTCCGCCTTAGTTATTGAAAGTCAGCTGGGTGATCTTGGGCCAGTCACACACACAGCCCAATTCACAGGGTTGTTGTGAGGACAAAAGAAGGCAAAAGGTGTGTTGGATATGTTTGCAGCCTTGAGTTATTCTTTAAAAATAAGGTGAGAGATAAAAAAATGATTGCAGTGAATTTATTTGTGCTGATGTCAGGTAACCATGTGCAATATTGCCCACTTAAAGAGCAAGTTGGACAAGATATCTAAAGTAATTTGAGTGTTGAGTTTGATCTGGTGGTTTGAACAGTAATCCAGATCAACTGTATTTCCTTCTCTGACTGACAGCATTAAAGACCGCTTTGCAGGTTTGCTGTAAGATGCAAAATAACATTTCAGATGCTATTATTACAAGAGAGAATGCTCAGTGGTGGGTTCCACCCAGTTCCGTTGAGCCGGTAGCGGTGATGATATGGCATCACCGAACCGGTTCTGCCCCCCCGCCCCCATCCCCCACCTTATTCTTACCTTTTATTTGGCCCCACCCCCAATCTATTGCTGCCTCCTGAGTCCCAGCTGATTGGCCAGGAGAAAAAAACTGTTTAAACTCTTGCCAGGGGGCTTCAAAGGGCCGCCCTACAGCTGATCAGGGTTAAAAGCAGTGTGCTGGTAGACCAATGCCTCCAAAAACAAATGACTAGACCGGTACAGCTCTGCAAGCAGTTAAAAGCCTGATAGACCAGTACCTCTGTTAAATCCTAAAGAATTGTCACATGACCATCAAACCATGCCCACAAAATAAGCCACGCCCACAGAACCGGTAGTAAAAAATTTTAGAACCCACTCCTGAGAATGCTTTATAAAAAGATTTTATGTGTAGGACAGACCTGTCAAAATGGTGGCCCATGAACCAAATATGGCCAGTGCAGGCTATGCCCATTGCCGCTCTGCAAAGGCAAAAAACATCCTGATACATCAAGATACTGCCTGCAATGCGATTGGGTTTGACACCTCTGGTGTAGGATAATACTGGATTCTTTTTATATAATTTTTTAGGTAAACGTAATTTCAATAATAACTTGTCTTTTTAATAATTGAAATAGTCTTTAGTAATATAAAAATGATCAATACATTTAAAAACTTTATGGCTAGAATGCTTTTTCTTTTTTTAGTTTAAATTATAACATAGTTTTTACAATATAAATGCCACACATATACCAATGGAGGAGAATATATGTAGCTCAGTGTTGAACTGTATGGAGTCCTTGGTGCTTTCTGAGCTTGGCTGTTTGTGTGCAGATATTTCATTATTCAACTAGATAACATCATCTGTGCCACTGGCATGCATATTAGTGACACTGATAATGTTACCTAGTTGGATAATTAAACGTCTGCCAGCAAACAACCTCAGAGAGCACCAGTGACTCCACTGCCACAAATATGCATAACGTGAAATTGCACTCATAAAAATGAACAAGAAATATAATAATACTACAAAGTTCTTCAATTAAATTCATACTGTGCAGGTGCATGTTGTAATATTATACAGTTAAGAATTTTGTAATGAAATGACTAAACCAATAGTAATTGCACTTGGAAACAAGTTTACCTACAAATTTTAAGCAATAATTTTTTAAAGTACGCATCTAACTTTGCACAATCTTATCAGATGACTGGATCAAATGAATTTAAGCTGAATCAGCCTCCAGAAGATGGAATCTCATCAGTGAAATTCAACCCAAACACATCTCAGTTTTTGCTTGTTTCTTCCTGGGACACAACTGTTCGATTGTATGATGTTCCTGCTAACACCATGAGACTCAAGTATCAACACACTGGAGCAGTACTTGACTGTGCTTTTTATGTAAGTTTTTTCTTCTCATGTTTTGAAATTTGAAAATACCAAGAAAACACAAAGGAATTACTTAGTTCATTTAATAGGTGATCAGAACTTTGGGCTGGACAGTATTCTGAAACGTGTTAGCGTTTTGCACATATGTGGACTTTTTAGCTCTTCCTTTCTGGAAATAGTCTATATTATCATCAAAAATCTTTGCATTAACCTTAACCTTAGTCTGGCTACTGTTGAACTCACCCCATTCCTAAGAGGTCTGTAAGGGGCATGCATAAGAATACCTGTGTACCTACCGTCCCTGTCCTAATGTTCCCTTTAATTGTATTCATTTTATATATTCAATTCATGATTATACTTATATATATTATCTAATACGTACTCAACAAATAAATAAATAAATAAATAAATAAAAATTTCTACATGGGCTACTCTTTATTGCCTTCAATTCATTGGTGAAAATATGAACCAAGATAACAGTAAATTCTGGTGGTTTCTTAATAATAAAATAATAAAAGCAAACTTTTTTTTTGTAATTTGGGGAATTGAAAAAAGGCAAGTTCCAGACTGATTATAAATAACAAAAGTGATCTTGTAAATTCAAAGATGGCAACTATCTAAGACATAAAGAACAAGGATGAAAAGTTGGAGGAGAAAAACAAAGTTCTTCATACTAGTTGCCACAATGTTGAGCTGTAATTTTTTTCTTGTTTCATTCTTAAAGTCTAGATAGCAGGAAGAGTGAATGCCACAATTTAAAAGGGCTAAAAGCTGAAATCTAGATTTGTTCCTGACCTGCTTTTCAGCCTGGTGGAATTACTGTTAACTAATTGGTAGTTGAGCAAGAACACACTGCAGATTATTTTTCAGAGGTGCTGGAATAATTTTCCCCTTGTTCTTTAATTGTGTAGCATGTTGGAATGGTTGTTGCTAGGTGACTGTTGAAGGATGATGAAGAGAGCTCATTTTAATAGGGGTGCTGGAATAACCTTATTTCCAATCTTCCCTTTTACTTTGCATCTTGAAGTGACTCCCAGATAATTGGCTTGTTGTATTGAAGATTTTGAAATAAGTCAGAATACAATATAGTAAATCAAAATAAAATTGAATTAACGACAGGTAACTAGTCAAAATTGGCCTGACCACAATTTTTAATGTACATTTAAGTCGGAAATAACTTTTTATGTTACTTTTCATAACTAGTAATTTGTTCTTTCTCATATAATTGTTGGATCTTTGGTTAAGCTTATTTTTTGAATATGATAATCTTGGGAGAAAAACCTCTGAAATGTAGTTTTTTGATGATACTTTAGTAGAAGTAGCCCAAATTACATAAATAGAGGATAATTGTTTTAAGTTTTCCAGAACCTTTAATTGGGCAACGTGCTTTATCAGTAAGGGGAAGAAAAAGGCAAAACAGTTCAAAACTTTGGCAGAATCAAAGCTGTGAGATCTGTAGAGCACTTAATTCTGAAATGATGACTCTTGACACAAAGAGGATTAGACCTTAATCCAATTAATATTGTTGACAAATGTGTTGAACGAGAGCTAACTTTTTCATCTTTATTTTTCAATGTGTTTGAGCCACTGATTGAAAGTAAACTCATCTCTAGTAAGTTGAACTACTATTCCTTCCTCATATAGTATGAGGGCCCTGTATAACTTTCCTGATGTTTTCTGCTTATGTGTCCTGTTGACATTACCATAAAATAACATGGGAACCCAATCACAATAATTAATAAGACAGCAACCTACTAATTTCACATGTATGCAACATTTATATGCTTTACAGATTTATATATATCATTGGAGGAAAAATGGCTTTTACTGTGTTTATTCTGTAACTATAGAACGTGTGAATAACTTCGTTTGTTTTGAAGGACCCAACACATGCCTGGAGTGGAGGATTAGATCGGCAGCTGAAAATGCATGACTTGAACACTGATCAAGGTAATAGTGATAGTGTCATAGAGTCTGCAGTCAGAAAACAGAATATACTTGAAATGCTGAACCACAAGGGTACCAAACCATTACTTATTATCTGAGAATAAGCTTCCATACAGTCCTTGGAACTTATTTCTGAGTCAAAATATGGGACTTCAATACAATTCAACAAAATAGAAAATTCTGGCCAAATTTCATACATTATTACTATAGATGTTTCTGAAAGAAAATGTTTTATTTTTTTTCTCTAAAACCAGCTGCAGTGTATTTTTTTTTATTTAAACATCTTATTCATTTGTCTAACAAAACACGGGAAGTGACAACCAATATTATCTCTCATACTGTAGATAGTGATTGTTTCACTTATTCTCTCTCCTCTAAGTTGTATTCACAGCAATTTAATGTCATAGGCTTCTTTATCACAATATTCTATTTGCTGAGATTGTGGAAAATAGGCATTCATTCATCTATAAATTACTGAAATATCATGTCCGTGTGTATCTTCAGTATTTGACAGTTTCTTATTCCAAATTACGCTAAATTGTTCCTGAAACTTCTTTTAGTTAAAACAAAGAGAAACTTACAAATATTTTTTTAAAGTGAACTTTATATTTGGTTGACTTTTTCTTTGAAAAATTTTCATAAGAGATTTTCCTCATTTTTTTTAAAAAAATTGGAGGCTAATGGTGCAATCTGAAGAAAGCAGCTTATTAAATTTCTGATACATGAGTATAGTATATAATTGCAAAATACGTAACTTGTTAAGAACGTATCTTTCAATGCCCATCCTCATTATTTTAAAAGCTTTTATTTATTTAAATTTATTTTTACCTGTGTTATTGGGAACTATGATTAGACACTTAGATATTTGGAAGTAGACCAGCTGAATGAAATGACATAAATTAATAAAAACTTTCCATAGAATGTTTGCATATATTGAAGATGTTGGAAAGCTTGGCTGCAACTTTGAAGGAAAAAGCTATTTAAACAGTAAAAGATTTTAAACTAAAAATTGTATTAAACATCACGGTAAAAGCTTCTAAACAATTTAATACTACTATGTTAATAAAATGAATAGTAATGTAGGAGAAGAGCTTATCGACAATAGTTTGTTGAAATTGTTTTGTATCTTAAATAGTGGCAAAGGCATGCACTAATGCTGTCGTGTCACATTCATCAATTATAAGCCGTTCATGACTAGAATTTTTAGTTGTGTCTAGCAGTTAGGAGCATAAATCTCTTTTATTCATTTGAAAATCTCTGCATGGGCACCAACTTCCCTGCTAAGCTTCTTTGAAATAGTGAGTTGATACCTATTAGTCTACATTTAACACTTCAGGAGTGTATATCTGTTGCAAAGATTAGAGGATCAAGCATTCTTTAAAGGATGCCCCAGCATCTATATAGATTAATGAATGGCCTGTCAAACTTTGATACTTGTGTGTGAATATTGCCTTAATCCTTTCACTACATTTCACTATCCCTGAATCTAGTAAAGCTAAATGCATTGGGTTTTTTCCCCAAACAGAAAATCTTGTTGGCAGTCACGATGCGCCTATAAGATGTGTTGAATATTGTCCAGAAGTGAATGTAATGGTAACAGGAAGTTGGGATCAAACAGTCAAGTTATGGGATCCAAGAACACCTTGTAATGCGGGAACGTTTTCTCAGCCTGAAAAGGTTTGTTCTTAAATTATTTAGAGTTCTGTACATCATTTCAACATGGATTAATTCTACTGATTACCATAGATATCAATAAATGTATAATTACATAGTGAGTTAAAAATAACAAGTGCAATAGAGAGGTGCAAAACTTTTCTGTGAATGAAACATTTGTAGAACAACATAATTGGGTGTTCCAAACAAGTACGATCAAGAGGAAAAATAGAATGTTCAATATTGTCAAGAATGTTCACTTGGAACAGTTAAGTTTGCATACAACTAAAATGTTTTTGAGCAATTAAAATATCTCCCAGATTAGGCCCTTGTTTTGAGATTTTACATTGTGAAATTTTCTTTTCCTATTCAGGAGAAAATGGTGGGAGAAAACTGGAGATTTATCCTTGGCTAGAGTGCTTATTTGTTTGCATGTTTGTTTTGTCTTGTGAGTCAGAATTGATCCCTGGTAAATGGGAAAAAAATCGATGCAGTTCTTTAGGTAGCACTTTGAGAAGTTGCTTGCCATTGCCTTCTTCCTAAATCTTAAGAGAGAGAGAGAGAAAGACTGGTCTAAGGTCACCCAGCTGGCTTTCACAATTTCCTTGCTCCTAGTCCAACATCTTAAATAAGTAGATCAAACTGGATCTCTTAAGGTGTATTGATTAGCTCTAAAATGCCAGACATAGAAGAAAATCGTGGTTTAAGCTACTTGATTTGCACATTAAATTTCCATTCCTGAGTTCTAAATTGTATTTTTTCTATTCTTAAAGAAATTAGTTTGTATAAACCAGTAATATAGTTAGTGAGCCAAGGTGTAATACTCAGCATAAAAGTATTCTTTAGATACAGTAGAAACTGTAACATTTTCCCTCAATCCCTTAGTTAAGTCTTTATCAGACTTTTGCCTATTTTGGGTCCATCTCTTGGATTCTTTTTTTTAAATATATTTTTTATTTTTTTATATAATACACACCATACATATTTTGTGGACAGTGTATTGACTGGGTCAAATCTTTTTTAAACAATGCTAATACAAATAAGTATGCATAATCCTGATCTTCCAACTTCAACAGTACCATTCTCTCTTTATAATTCTTTATCATTTTTTCCATTAATTCATTTAAACATAAAATAACATTTCTTTGTGCCTACTTATTAACCCTTTCTCTTCATTATCTTTCTCTTTTTGCATCTCGTTTTGATTTTTTCCTTCAACTGCTTCTAATTTTTTATCTATTTCCTGAATATCATGTTCATCTTTCCCCCCCAATTGTTGCGTGGCTTCTACACCCATTTCTTTATCTTTAGACAATCCCCTTGTCTCCTTATTGTTCTTTATAGTTTCATGCATGTTTTTGAGCATCAAAATTATTTCTTCATTTGCCTCTATTACCCCCTGTAGATCCATTTTGTAACAATTTAATAAAAATTCTTTAGGGGTTGGTTCTCTCACTCTTGTTTCACTTCCACATGAACCATTGAGAAAGATCATCTGTCCATTTTGGGTATCCTGTCATGAATATTAAAGGTGTGGTGGAATTTGAGATTGTATGAAAGGTTTTATATGTGACTTTGCAGTAATGAAATATCATTACCAAAGCTTGTTTAGCAATATAGTTTATTTTTTGACTGTACTATTAATTGGAACAAGTCTTAATTTGTTGCCTTTGGGAACTAGTATATGTATGTTATTGTATGAGATTAGGATTAGATATTTCATTTAAATAGATAAAATTAACTTGAACATTTCTTTAGTAGGATAAATTCCTTAGAATATCCTTGGCCAAAATTTATCTTTTATCTTAACATTTATATTTTTTCTAGAATAAGATTCATGATTACAGGTAGTCCTTGACTTACAATAGTTCATTTAGTGACTGTTCAAAGTTACAATAGCACTGAAAAAAGGGACTTAAAACCATTTTTCACATGGCCGCTGCAGCATCCCCACAGTCGTGTTATAAAAATTTGGACTAGTTCATTTCTATGATGGTTGCAGTGTCCTGGGGTCGTGTGAGCACCTTTTGGGACTTTCTGATAAGCAAAGTCAATGGGGAAGCCAAATTCCCTTAACATGTTATTAACTTAACAAATGCAATGATTCACTTAACAACTGTGGCAAGAAAGGTCATAAAATGGGACAAAGCTCACTTAACAAATGTCTGTCTTAGCAACATAAATTTTGGGCTCCATTGTGGTTGTAAATCGAGGACTAATATTTTCCTTTTTGGGCCTATTTGGAAAGCATATATGTAATATCTTTGAAATGCTGGCAAGGGTTTGATTCTTGGTATACCAAACTTTAGCAGCCCATATACTAACGCAATATTTTGCATCTTTTTTCAAGGTATATACATTGTCTGTATCTGGTGACAGATTGATAGTGGGAACAGCTGGTCGAAGAGTTCTGGTGTGGGACTTACGGAACATGGGCTATGTTCAGCAGAGAAGAGAATCAAGTCTTAAATATCAGACCCGTTGCATCAGGGCATTTCCCAACAAACAGGTATTTATCTTGTGTGGCAATGTTTCAGATTTAAGCTGGTGGAATGAAACATGCTGTTGTTACTTTAGCATCTCCTGCCTTAATGAAACCTCTGAATTTTGCTATTTTTCTTTGTGTTTGTATGTATCTAGGCATGCCCAGAGTCGTTTTGAAGTTAATCAATCAAATTTGATGAGTCAATTCTAGTGTATGGAAATTCAGTTCAATTAATGCACACAAATATTACAACAGTATCATGCTTAATATGGTTTTATTGTTCTAAAAGTTAGGCTTTCAGAAAATACATAAAACTACTTGCTTAGGAGCCCTTTCCAAATTGGCTTTTTCCTGGACCTGTCAACAATATGAAGAAAAGTAATTTTGAAACAAGAAAGCCTTTGTTTCGGTTACTGTACTATTATTTTTTATGGGATTCAGTGCAGCATTATTTTCTGTTTTTGTGGTAGAAGAAAAAAGAAGGAAACAAATTGTGCTCTTGATTAAAAAATAATAAGGAGTCCTAGAAATAGATTTCTTTTTTAATGCAGTGAAGGAATTAATTTCATATATTACTTGTGGGCAAATATGTTCCCAATGAAATCTTTGAGATGGCTTTTCATTTCTGAAAAGGTGTTGGTATATATTTTTGTTCCTAAGATTTCTGAATTAATCTTTCTCAGTAGACATGAAGTAGGAAATTATTTCCAATTATCTTTGGAATCTTTTATTCCACAGTACATGATTCATTTTGAAGTGCACAAATGTAGAATGTGATAGAAGTATTTACACAAAAGAAAACACTACATAATTGTTTGTAATAACTGAAGGACCTTTGTACATTTGATAGGGTTATGTGTTGAGCTCCATAGAAGGTCGGGTTGCAGTTGAATATTTGGACCCAAGTTTGGAGGTTCAGAAGAAAAAATATGCTTTCAAATGCCACAGATTGAAGGAGAATAACATTGAGCAGATTTACCCTGTCAATGCCATCTCTTTTCATAATGTCCATAACACATTTGCTACAGGTAATTGTTTTCTTATTGTATCACTTGTAGTAGATATCATAACTAATTTGAATGGGTAGTGATCTGCCCATTCAAATACAATATTTCATCCATTTTATTATTTATTTGGTAGCTAAGAAGCATACATGGGTTTCTATTTACGGTATTTTTCTTCCACAACAACTGCTCTGTTCAGCAACTTGACTTGTCCAGAGTTATGCAATGAGTTTCTGTGTCTGAGAAGTGGCTTGAAACTTGGATTTTTCCAGCAAGCCCTGAATCATTTTATGATCTTTTTATAGAAAATAGTCTTGGACCAGTGAAGTCTTGTGAAGTCTTGGACCAGTATTTAGCGCCTGAACTTATTTTAATTGGCCGTTCCTGAACATTTGCAGCATATTAAATTGAGGGGGGAAATGTACAGAGTGTAATGCCATTTAAAATTTATGATTGATTTGTACTGATTTCAGATAGTTGGGCTTGTTTCTTTTCTGGATTTTTGTTCTCTTATAAAGAAAATTAATAAAACTTTTTGCACTAACCTTACAAGTTTGCAATAATGTTACAAAAGAATGTATAATTAGTCCCTAATAGCTCTCTTCTTACACACCTATTTGTAGGTGGCTCTGATGGCTTTGTCAATATTTGGGATCCGTTCAACAAAAAAAGACTCTGCCAATTTCATCGGTACCCTACCAGTATAGCTTCACTAGCTTTCAGTAATGATGGGACTACTCTTGCAATAGCATCCTCATATATGTATGAAATGGATGACATTGAACATCCTGAAGATGGTATCTACATTCGCCAAGTGACTGATGCAGAGACAAAACCCAAGTAAGAATGCTTGATATCCAAAATTATGCCACCACTGGTAACACAGACAAAATGGAAAGGTGCACAAATTTTTATATGTACTCTCAAACTAAATATATTGTGACTTTTTTTGTCAGTGCTGTTCAATTATATTGTTTCTAGTGTATATTAAAATAAAAAATGCATTACATATGCTTGTAAGGTTTGAAAATAGGATACTGATTGCTGTCATTAGCTCACAAGTATCTGACTCTCATTGGTATATGGATCTTGTGGAAGGAAAGGTAAGGCAGGTACAATTGCCTAAATGTAAATCTCTTAATATAAAAGGAAAGGTAAATCTCTTAATATAAAACCTGAACAGTCACATATTATATTAGAAAAACACTCAATTTAGAGTTAGACTGCATTTTGAGCTCTTGTGATTGGGAAAGCTTTGAGTCATCTTCCTAAATTTTGCATGTTAAAGAGACTTTGTGAATTACATTGTATCTTTTGTATCATTAAAACTTGTAATTGGATTAAAAGTATCTCACAATATGAAATTTAACTTGATTACTGCATTTTGATACAGAATTTATGGAAGGCTATTTCCAAAGTCAGCCAGTTCAGTTAGAATGATGCAGAGCATTCAAGCAAAACAACTAGAATTATGAAGAATGTTTAGATTTCAAAGATTATTTATTTATTTGACTTAAAAAATGCATTACAGTATGTTTACCCAACCCTACCAGTAAAATAAAAATAATCCCAAACCCCATTTCTGAATGCAGTTTACAATAAAGGATTAAAGTGATGACATTTCCATAGGTTAATCTAAAACTGCATGCTGTCCCAGAATTCAGTACTGTGTACATTTTTTCCACTGAGCAGTATGATCTGCTTCAAGTATATATATAGGTAGCATTGCATTTCAAGTCACATTCTTCCAGAACTCTCTTAAAGCAGCACCACATGACCTCACAATGGAGCCAGTTAAATATAGCCCACAGTCCCAGCAAATGTTCATTACATTCTTAGTTAACATATTTAGGTATACCATCTGTGTAGAGAGAGACCCCAATAGAAAGTTTTAATATTTTAGTTAAGGGTAACATTGAATGATAATATGAGATTTTTTGTGTGAAAATTTTTTGTTGTGCTTGAATGTATTTTTTTTTTTAAATATTGTCAGAAATGATAAGACACAGCCACAGCATCCCAAAACAGCACTGTAGCAATAGCAATAGGACCTAGACTTATTGTATTTTATATATCAATCATAATAACTATATTTTACTTTTTTTAGTCAGTTTATTTTTGTGTATGATCTGTTATGCTTGGCATAAAGTGTAAAAATCAGCTTAGTGCAATTGTTTTCACTTATCATATTATCCTTTTTCTAATGGGTGTCTTCCTGTAAATTATTTGTATTGCGGGAATTTAACATGGGAAACTCTTAGTGGAGTGAAGACAACCATATGACTTTACATTCAGCTGTTTCGATACTTGTGCTTGCTAATTATAGAGATGCTTCATTCTGCTTTTCGAGGAGGTTAATCTGCAATTAAACAATATTTCCTCTTAGCTGTCCATTATTTTCTGAAACAGATGGTTCATCATTTCCTGGGCTGTTAAAAACAGCAAGGTTAAGGTTGGGCTCTTGGGAGTTGGTTAGTTTTGAATCTTATTACAGGATGTAGAAGCAAAACTAATAAGAATAGCACTTAATATCATTTTGTGGCTGCAAACAATTATTTATTAGTAAACAATTGATCCCAGAAGGGCAAATTGTTTGAATCGGTAATGAGCTGAGACAAGGCAGAACATTCTGTATCTGTTTATTTGCAAAATAATTGTAACATAATTGCAATGCATTTAGACAGGCATCTATTTGGACTTGTTTCTCTCTCTGTAAATGAATTTCTGAAAGTTTAATTTATTTTTCTACATGTTTATTCCTTTCTTCAGCCAGATGCGATAGAAATTTTATAGTGATCCAGTACAATAAACACATTTAATAATAAAAATGATAATAGCTCCTGACTTACTTTTTCTATTACCGTTTCTAAAATTCTTGTAATGATTCTGTTTTGAAATACAAAGAAATGCTAAATTGTTTTGAGATTTTATGAGGATCTGCTTTAGAAAATTAAAAATTCATTTTGAATATTACAGAAATGCAAATACCTGTCTAAAATCTCTTTCTTTGTTGCAGGTCAACTTAATCTTGATCAGAAACTTTTACTACTAGCAAAACAAACTAATCCTTGGATTAAATGTTGTTTTATGACAATGTTGTTGTCATAATGTTTTCATTGGGTATATTGTAAATCTTTTTTTAAAAAAAAGATTTAATAGACAAGAATTGTTAATTTTGTTCACCTGATTTTGAAATATTCCTGTAAGCTAGTTCATTCTTTTGAAATGTGTCAGTTCAATTTTTGTATAGATTAATGGTGGCCTAATTGTTTGAATAAATATTTGCAATCCAGTCTCTCTCTCTCCCTCCTTCTATCCCAAAAGCCATACTTTCAGCTGCAATGGCTGTAAATGTTAAGTCCTGAATTTAATAATGGCATCGTTTTTGATATACTGGGCTTATACAGCAGCAACAATATGATGATGATTAAAACATTTTGACTTTTTTCAAGCAGCAAGCAACTTAAATTTAATTGATGTTAACTCTAACCCTTCCCTGTTTATTTTTTATTGTAATTAAATTCTGTGGTCAGCATGTTTAGGAAAGTATGTCCTGCAGATTTAAGCAATTTACAGTTGAAGTTTTATGGTTGCTGTTAATGATCAATGTCTGCCTTTGAAAGTTGATTTCTTTTCTTGGAAAAAAGAATATTTTGTCTTTAAACAAGCACCCCAATTTCACAACAGATATTTGTATCAGATAAAAATTGTTTCTACAAATGTGTTACTTGTAGGATATTAATTTGAAATATAATAAACTTTCTTAATTCTTGAAACAATTTTCATTTGCTAAGAATATTGATCCATAAAGTCCATGTGAAAATTTTGATGAATAATTATTTGTAGATCCCAAATTGTGCCATCTTCTTTGAAACTTTTCCTGAAATTATATTTTTCGGGAGGAAGCTTTGGATCTTTTCTTTGTTACTTAAACTTTATTAATCTGATTTTAGGATGAATCTTTCAGTTTTTATTTCTCCCTTCAAAATGATTTAAGATTACACTAGTGGTTTTTAGAGAGGCATTTGTGGCGGGAAAGTTTTTTCACTCCTGTTCTAGAATTAGTGATAGTTTATATAGTTATAGAACACGTTTGGTATCGTAATATTTATTAGTAATCTTTACCACACCATCAGATCATCTAATAATCTTTCTGTAATTATCCCAATACCCTAATGGTTAGTTTCTGCCTTGGCTTTGTGATTCAGATGTCCCTGAAAATATATTTCAAGAATAAGTAGCTATCAACTATTCTGTTTCCATTAAAAAAAGTTATCAGTGTATCATACTTCAGCCTTTATTCCGTTAAGTCATATTTAGCTTTGCTCCAGCTATAGTCTGTCTAGATGGTCTTCAGATTAATGAAGTAGGAATGTATGGCTTCTGTACTTTCAGAACAATGAAATCTTAGTAGCAAGGGTTATTTTTGAAATGGAAAGCCTTTCTATTTTATTCCCTTATGAGTCATGAAAATTAATGCATTCCATTTCTTCAGCCATTTGCTATTGCCACAATTCGCAGCCTTTGAAAATGATTGTGAAACTGTCAACCGATCAATGTACTCTACTCTAATACTAAACTATAGCATTAGTACTACTAGATATTGTAGGAAGCTTATACATGGCCTGGTGCAATCTTTTATACCTTCACTAGAGGCATAACAGAAGGCCAAAATAAGAGTACGTGAGGCCAAGAATGAAATTCAAACAGAAAAAGTGATGCAAATATATTGGAGGATTTGAAGGTGCTGAGCCAATAAAATGCCAATGAAATTCAAATAGGAAAATTGGAAATAGGAGAATGTGGGTTAGACATTGATCTATATAACAGATGCCAATACAAATAAATGGTCAGATTCCAAACCAAATAAGTGTTTTCAGTAGTTGGGGATTATTTCTGACTAGCATCCATATACTTATTTATTACAGGCTCAATAGTGGAGGTGTTATGCAAATGGAAATTCATAAGTACAGTACCATAGCAAAGAATTCTGGTAGGACTGATAAAACCTGGATAGATAGTAGTACTGTTAGAAGCTGTATACAGTTGCATATGCATATATGTATATGTGAGGCATTCCTTCTACGAAGGAGCAATACATCTTTTTATTCTCTGAACATATGGAGGCAAAATGTCACAAACGTTGAATAATACACAGTAAATTTGCTTTTTGCTGTATGAGATAAGGCAGAATGATTCCTGAACTCTGAAAAGCCTTTTTAAATGATAGCCTTTTGTTGAAGATTAGAGGGCTTTCCAGAACATAGAATCATACTGATCATTCTAATAATTCCTTCCATCATCTCAGGCTACACACATTGTAAAAGCATTACAAGATGTCTCTCAAAAGCCTATAACATGGTCTTTATAGGCAAGGACATCTGTATCCCAAATGCTGTGCTGCCACATTTCAACAAATAATTCTGATGAATTAGGGTAATGTTAATATGTGTAAAATTTATACCTTAACCCACTGAATACAGTCTTCTAAAGAAAAAAGCTTAGGTTAACAATATAAACTGGTTCTTTTTTCTTGCAATGCTATGAATTTACATTTTGTATCCAGTCTCAAATACATTAATGGTCAAATTCTGTAGAACTTGGAAGCATATTTTAAAATAAATATTTGAATCTGTTTGTTATAAAGCTGTGCTGAAAATGCAATGTGTTTTCAAAGACTTAGATTTTATGGAAAAAGCATGGGAACCAATGCAGATGCATTCATTTATCTAATTTATGTAGCTGCCCATCTCACAGGCAAGTGACTCGACTTTTATCTCGTACCTTTACTTTTATTTCAATTGCTCAGATTTTTTTTCTCTTATTCTTCTGTTTCACAAAATTTTAAATGATTTATAAATGAAGTTTGAATTTGGTGACTGCCCTTATTACATCAAGGATCAACCAAATTTTAGATTCTTGCCACTTACCAATCACTTATAATCTTTGATATTCTCTCATGAGATCTTTTACAAGAACAGTGATCTCACAAGATTATAGCGATTCTTTAATATTTCCTCTACATTTCATTACCCCCCTCTCTCTCTTCCCCCCCTCTTCCCCCTCTTATTTGCCAATCAATGAATATGCAAATTTAAATTTTATTTCGTTGGTACAACCATAGCTCTCAGCAGTGCAGTTAGACTACTACTTTTGCCCTGTGTATACCATAGTTGTAATTTTGTATTTCTGTGGCATCCATTGTGCATAACAAAACCAAGAATTGTTCATTTTATGATTGGATTTTATTCTTAGGTGTTTTGCATGGATAAAAATCTTCCCTTCTTCTCAGTACTTTGCCGTTATGTTACAAATTAATGTTATTTGATCTGTCCACTGCCCTTGCCACAACAATCACTTAGCTTGCTAACTTCATTCCCTTTCCTTTGCTTCCTTAGTGGTAGGGTAACATTTCCTCTGAGATACTTTAGCTGATGTTCACATATGGTACATATGGTTTAATTATTTAATTGGTATGCACCTTAATGAGCTTTTGTAAAGCAAATAATTTATACTTAAGATGCATAATATAACTATCCAAATCTTAGGGAAATGGGAAGACCTGATATTTAAACAATTTTTAAGGCCCACGGTTGTTTGAGAGCGCCATCTAGAGTTTTCTTAATAATAATAAAAAAAAGATATCAACTGAAAAAGTAAAATAGTTCATCTAAAATTTCCAAATTCTAACCCCGGCCTCCATAAATAATTATAAAAGAAGCTTTGCTTTCAAATACTATAAGATTTCAAAGAGCAGTTCTATACATAAGAAATGTAAATACGTATACATTTTTAGATTGGAGATATAAGCCATTTTAAAAGGACATGTGCTGCTGGTAATTTTAATTTATATTCAGTTATGTATCATGCAAATTAAATGTGCACCTACATGCATACATTAGCAGTTTCTCAGAATGCGTACATTGTTGCAAGCACATTTTCCCAACCTTATTATTGATGGTTGCCATCATACTGTGTTTTCAAGTAATTCTTGATTTCTATCTAGATTTTTTATTCGTGTGTCAGGTATCATGAGTAATTGGAAATGAACCGTATTCAATCCACCACCATGTCTTGTGGATGTACAATTCTCAATCTTGTGAGAAATACTATGCAGACATCCCTCATGTAGATAAGTCAAGTTCTCTTATGTCACCACTGAGGTAACTGGAGAAGGATCTAAATTTTTTCTCCCAACCTTTGCCAGTTATGATCTCTGCCATGTCTAGGAAGGAGAAAAAGGGATTGTCACTGCTTTGTAACTGCTGGCAGAGAAAAGAGCAAAGCAAAAGATTCAAGTCTTTTCCCCTCTACTACCATCTCTATAAGGACTGTTACCTGATCATTTTTTTTGTTCGCTGTCCAGTGGGTAGCTAAATCAATTGAATGGTGAGGAATTCTAGACAAAACAAATGTGGTTTTCCAGCAGGCTTGGGGATCTCATGGAGACAGAGAACCTGCAAGGTAATTGTATTATGTGTATAACATTGGCTCCTCCCAGAGTCTTATTTTTATTTATATGTATTATGTGTGTATTTAATTGTTTCGAATGGTTATTTTAGAGTCGATTATTGTTTTATTGTAGAGCAGGCATATCAAACTGGCGGCACATGGGACAGATGCGTCACCTATAGGCCACACCTACCCTGGCTCTGCAAAGGCAAAAAAAGTCACAATATGTCACATGACATGATCAAGTTTGACACCCGTATTGTAGTCATGAGATGGGTGGCTATATAAATTTGATTGATTGATTGATTTGTGGATTACCTATACCTGTTGAAAAGAAAAAAAATTCTTACTACCTGATATAAAGTGGGTAAAACAAAAGAACTGAACAGAATAATCTATTTTATCAAAGCATTGTGGTATTTAATTTTTTCTTAACTATAGTTTTTAATTTCAAAAACAAAAGTGCACTAGAAGTTTCTGATTTGGACATAATTAAATCATTTCCCCAGCCCTCTAATGTCCTTAATCAACCCCAAAGAAGTATACATTATTAAACATCTTTTTGGGATTAAAATTTTATTCCTAATTATACACAAAAGATATATATCATAAAATATTCATCATATAATCGTGATTTAAAATGTACAGTCTCCCAAAAGATGTGATTAGCAATTTTAAACACCTCAAACTTAATTAAGTAGGTAATGGATGAGAACTGAGATTTTTAAGAGGGGGAAAATATTTAAATTTTTTTAAAAAAGGTTTTATCACTAGGTCTAGGATGGCAAGGGACTACCCAGTCAGCAATACAATCAAATTTAAGGTGGCATACATTGCTTTGGAATCCTGAAAAAAACCCATTGTATTAAAAATAACCTTTTCCTGTTGACAGATTTAATTCGTTTATATGAGTTTTTAAAAATAGGTTGTGTCGATCTTGTAAGAGTTTCCTTGGTATATAGCTATCTTCTCATGCTTTTCTCCATTTTCATGTCCCATTTTCTGTATGTCTCCTTATGTTTGCACCACAACAAAAGCGTAGTCTAGTTGAGCCACTCAGAATCTATGCAAATTTTCTTGTCCACATGATAACTGGAAAGTTCAAGATTCTCAGCCTAGTTCAACCAGTAGAACTACTGGACCATCCATGTGTCAGTCAAAATAGTCAAGATAGCCACAATCATGGAATCAAAGCCTTGCCTCCTTTCACACATCAGGATGCATGTTAAAAAGGGCAGGGCTTTGACTGCATGTTGTGACCACTATCTTGACATTTGCAAATACCCCTTGGAGTTACACAAATGCAACCTTGTCATAAAATTAGCAG